AAGTTGGGGCCTTCATCAAATGATGAAGATCTGGGCCTATTTTTTATTCCATTAGGTGCAAGGTCTCTGGCTTAGCTCCTAGGTCCTTGATCCACTTTGAGTTGAGTTTTGTGCATGGTGAGAGGTAGAGGTTTAATTTCATTTTGTTACATGTGTATTTCCAGTTTCCCCAGCACCTTTTGTTGAAGAGGTTATCTTTTCTCCAATGTACATTTTTATCCAGTATAACTTTAGTTATGTGGGTTAGTCTCTGTGTCCTCTATTCTTTACCATTGGTCTATAGGTCTATTTTGGTGCCAATACCATGCTGGTTTTGTTACTATTGCCCTATAGTATAGTTTAAGGTTTGGTATTGTGATGCCACCTGCTTCACTCTTCTTGCTATATATTGCTTTGGCTATTCTGAGTCTGTTATTTTTCAAGATGCATTTCAAGATTGCTTTTTCTATTATTTATTTTTAATTTTTATTTATTTTTATTTATATATGACAGTGGAATGCATTACAATTTTATTCAAGTTTATTTCGAAGTATTCTATTTTATTTTTTTTGAGGCTATTGTAAATGGGGTGGTTTTCCTATTTCTCTTTCTGAGGATACAGAAATGCCTTTTATTTATGGGTATTGATTTTATATCCAACTACTTTGCTGTGTTCATTTATTAGTTCTAGGAAATTTTTGGTGGAATGTTTTGGGTCTTCTAGATATAGAATCATATCTTCTGCAAATAATGATAATTTGAGTTCTTTTCCTATCCATATCTCTTTATTTCTTTTGTCTGTCTGATTGCTCTGGCTAAAGTTTCAAGAACTATGTTAAATAGAAGTGGTGACAGAGGGCATCCTTGTCTTGTTCCAGTTTTTAGAGGAAATGCTTTCAATTTTTCTCCATTTAGAATGATGTTGGCCTGGGGCTTAGCATAGATAGCCTTTACAATGTTGAGGTATGTTCCCGATATCCCTAGTTTTTCTAGCATATTGAACATGAAGGGATGCTGTATTTTWTCAAATGCTTTCTCAGCATATATTGAGATGATCATATGATTTTTATCTTTGAGTCTATTGATGTGATGAATTACATTTATTGATTTCTGTATGTTGAACCAACTTTGCATCCCTGAGATGAAGCCTACTTGATCATGGTGCACTATCTTTTGGATATGTTTTTGTATTCGATTTGCCAGAATTTTATTGAAAATTTTTGCATCTATACTCATTAGAGATATTGGTCTGAAGTTTTCTTTCTTTGAGGTGTCTTTGTCTGGTTTTGGAATCAGGGTGATATTGACCTCATAGAATGTGTTTGGAAGTGTTCCCTCTTTTTCTATTTATGAAATAGATTGAGAAGTATTGGTGTTAATTCTTCTTTAAAGGTCTTGTAGAACTCAGCTGTATATACATCCAGTCCTGTGCTTTTCTTGGTTGGTAGGTTTCTGATGGTGTCCTCTATTTCATTGCTTGAAATTGATCTGTTTAAATCGTGTATATCATCTTGATTTAATTTGGGCATATCATATGCCTTAGAAATTTGTCGATGCCTTTGATATTTTCTCTTTTATTGCAGTACAAATTTTCAAAATAATTTCTAATTATCTTCTGTATTTCTGTAATGTCAGTCATAATATTTCCTTTTTCATCACAGATGTTAGTAATTTAAGTTTTCTCTCTCTTTCTCTTCATTAGCATGGCTAAGGGTTTGTCAATTTCATTTATTTTTTTCAAAGAACCAATTTTTTGTTTTGTCAACTTTTCCAATTGTTTCTTTTGTTTCAATTTCATTGATTTCAGCTCTGATTTTAATTATTTCCTCTCTCCTACTGCTTTTGGTGTAGATTTGTTCTTCTTTTTCTAGGGCTTTGAGATGTAATTTTTGGTCATTTATTTATTGACTGTTCTTTTTTGAAGGAATGAACTCCATGCAATGAAGTTTCTTCTTAGAACTGCCTTTGTAGTGTCCCAGAGATTTCGATATGTATTATCAGTGTTCTCATTTACCTCTAAGAATTTTTTAATCTCCTCCTTGATATCTTTTGCAACCCATTGTTCATTCAGTAGCATATTATTTAGTCTCCAGGTGTTGGAGTATTTTTTTTTTATTAGCGTCTAAGTTTTGATAATATGAATAAAACTCTGGAAACATTTGAGTGCAGATTTTTATAGGGACATATGTTTTCAACTCATTTGAGTGAATACTGAAGTATAGTTTCTAGATTATTTGATGAGAATTTAGCCTTTTAAGAATCCACCACATTGTTTTCCAAAGTGGCTTTACCATTTTGTATTTCATCAGCGATGAATGAAAGTTCCTGTTGCTCCATTGCTTGTCAATATCTGGTATTGTCAGCATTTTGGATTTTAGCCATTGTAATAGTATTTAACAGTGTCTCATTTAAATTTATAACTCCCAAATGGGATATGATATTAAGTATATTTTTATATGCTTATTTAACATCTTATGTGTTCTTTGGAGAGATGCCCACTCAGGTATTTTGCCTATTTTCAAATTGTGTTGTTTTCTTACTACTGTGTTTGAAATGTTCTTTGTATATTTTAGTTACAAATTCTTTCTCAGATATGTGTTCATTGTTGAGTTGCAAGAGTTATTTCTATGTTATGAATGCAAGACCTTTATCAAAATATAATTTTCAAATATTTTGTACAATTGTGTAGGTTTTCACTTTCTTGATGATATCCTTTGATATGGATAAAGCTATTAAATTTTGATGAGATTTTTTATTGTGTTGCTTGTGTTATAGTGTCATCTAAGAAGATTCTTTCTAGAAGAATATCAAAAAAATATTTCTATATTTTCTTCTAAGAATTTTATATTTTAAGCTCTTATTTTTAGGTAGTTGGTATATTTTTAGTTGATTTTTACATGTGGTGTAAGGTAATAGTTGAACTTTATTTTCTGTTTGTCGATATCCAGTTTCCCAATATTATTTTTTGAGGAAACTATTTGCACGTTGAATTGTTTTGACATCCTTATTGAAATCAGTTGCTCATAGTCTCCGAGGTTTATTTTTGTACTCTTGYTTTCATTCCATTGAGCTATGTCTGTTTTTATGCCAGTACCACACTGTTTTGATTACTTCTTCTAGAGGATTCTTCACAGTTTTCTAAATAGAGTAAGTCATCTGTGAATAGAGATAGTTATCTCCTAACTATTCATTTTGGATTCCTTTATTTCTTTTTCTTGTCTAATTGTCTTGGCTAGAACTTTTAAGAAGATGTGAATAGAGTTTTTGAGGATAGACATGCAGACATCCTCATTTTGTTCATGATCTTAAGGGGAAAGCATTTAATTCTTCTCCATTAAGTATGATGATAACTGTGGCTATAAGGATAAGGAAGTTCCATCCTGTTTCTAGTTTGTTAAGTGGTTTTATCAAGAAAAGAGTTCAAGCATTCTTTTAAAATGTTCTATACCTGGAATAATAAATCATTTCTGAAAATACCTCCTGCCAATTGTTGGGCATTTTACATTAAAATTCAAAGTTTTAATATAGAAACATTGTGAAAATATAGTGGCAGAAAGGACACAAGAATAAAATAATACACATAGATGTCTAGTAGGATTAAATGAGTATTTAGCATTTATAAAATTCAACTTGTCAATAAGACTAAGTTAAAGTTTCAACTTATTGTTTATACATGTGAATATTTTATTTCAGATCTGATTATCAGCATAGAATAAGCTTGTCATATATCTCAATTTGATTTTAGCTACTGATAGCAATGTTATATACTCTTAAACTCATAGACTGCTCTGGCTTCTGAGAAACATACCTCAGACTATCTTAGGTTATCTGGTCTATTTCCTGTGTTTTTGTCTGCCATCAAATCTCTGACTCTCTCCAGTGATAAGGAAATAATTCAAATAGGAGCAAAAATATTAAAAATCATTAAAATTTAAACTAAACCAAAACATTTAATGAGAAATAACTTATAAAAAATGATAAGTTTTTACTTTAAGACAAAACAAAGCACCAAAATAAAAAGGTAARTATTCATAATATGGAGAAAAACCTAGAATAATAAAGGTGAAACTTTGCAATGCAGGAATACATTAAACTTCCAACAGGATTTTCACAGAACTTAACCAGCTTGTCCTAAAATTGAWATAAACATCAGAGTAGCCTTAGAATTATCATTAGAATTATATTTTGGAGAATAATAGTATAAAGAAGAAATTTACCTGACTGAACATCAAAATTTATTTTAGCCAGGTGTGGTGGCACACGCCTGTAATTCAGTGATTCAGGAGGCTGAGGCAGGAGGATCACAAATTCAAAGCCAACCTCAGCAAATTAGCAAGGCCCTAAGGAACTTAGTGAGACCCTGGTTCATAATAAAAAATAAAATGGGTTGGGGATGTGGCTCAGCAGTAAAAGGCCTGTGGGTTCAGTCTCTAGTACCAAAGATTTATCTTAAATCAATAATAATTAAGATAATTGGTATATTTATTATCTATTTATTAACCACTAGACATTATTTCAATCTTTACAAATGTTAACTCATAAAAATTCCTTGAATAATAGAATTTCCCCCAGTGTTCGCATCTTATAGATGAGGAAACCGAGTCACAGAAAGTTTAGTGATTTTCTTATGATCATTTACCTAGTAACTTACACAGTTAAGACACAAATCCGTGTTCTTAACCATTATGTTGCACTGCCTCATGGTATGCTTAAATAGAACAATGGGAAAAGTAGGCCAAAATGTCTGTGCATATGTGGAACTTGGCATAATTAATTGTTAGCCCACATATATTTTGCCCCAATTTTTTCCCTTTTTCCATCTTAAATTTTTTTAGGTATTTATTTTTTTAGTTTTTGGTGAACATAATATCTTTATTTTATTTCTATGTGGTGTTGAGGATCGAACCCAGTGCCCCGAGCATGCCAGGCAAGCACGMTACCGCTTGACCCACATCCCCAGCCCCCCATATTAAAATTTTTAATATCTAATTAGTAATAAAAAAATCTCAACAAACATTTAGGAATTTCTGCTGCTTGGAGCCACAGCCATAGAAGATCGTCTTCAAGCAAATGTTCCAGAGACTATATCAACTCTACTGAAAGCAAACATAAAAATATGGGTCTTGACGGGAGATAAACAAGAAACTGCAGTTAACATAGGTAACACATGTAAAGAAATTTTTATAAAAACTTTATGTACATTCTAGGACCATTCATTTTGACATAATTATAAGAGCATGGAATATAATTTGTTCTAATTCAGTCCTCAGTAATTTTTCTTTGCCTCCCCTCCTCCTTCCTCCTTTTCCTTTCTCTCTACTGATAATTTCTGCTATTTTAGTTTTAGTTGTTGTTTTTAAATTAGTGTCTTATAGATGTAAATGCTGGTGATATTCACATAGGAAAGTTAGGTCCGATTAATTCCACTGTCTTTCCTTATCTCATTCCTCCTCCTCTTCCTTGGCTTATTCCACTGACCTTTCTTCTCTTCCTCCTCCTCCTCCTCCTTTCTCCTCCTCCTCCTCCTCCTCCTCTTCCTCCTCCTCCTCTTCTTCTTCTCTTCTTCTTCTCCTCCTCCTCCTCCTCC